ATATGGCTATAAAAGATATATTGCTGTTAATCCACCTCAGTATATATCCTCCCCCTCACTGCAAGCACTCATCCCATCATCCTTGCCACTTTCCGAAGCAGTTCTGGGAGTCCTCTTTCGTGAGTGTCTTCAGTTGTGCCGTTGTGTGATTGCCTCGATATCCTGAATGAATTCAGAACCTTTACCGTGCGTGGCCATTTTGCCTTTGGGGAGGAGCCAGAGGTCACGTGGCTCCAGGTGTGGCGGATAAAGTAGATGAGGACACAGTCGTGTATTTACGAGCCCGCCTTTCTGTGGAATGATACTCAGCAGCAGCTTTCACTGTTGTTTTGATCGGAGCTCATAAAGACGGTCGTGAAAGACTTCCAGAGCTGTTTCAGAAAGTGGCAAGAATAAGTGAAGCAAGGGGGGCTAGTTTGAAGGGAATTAATAACAGTATGTCTTTCACTGTAATGTTTTTTAAAATCTAAGCATTCGCTGTAGTTTCCAATCAGCTGTACCTCATATGGCCCTGAAAACCTGTGATGCCGCGCACTTATTGGTGGTGGTCGAGATGGAACACAGTCAGCTAGAAGAGCAGAGAAGCTCCGGGTCCTCTGGAGTGCGTGGCTGGAAGGGACAGTGGCAAAGGAAACAGCAAGACGTGAGCCCGAGAGACAGGGCCCCAGGGGAAGCCAGTTGGGTGGAAAGTGATCTTTTCCCCAAAGGCAACGGGCAGCACGGGTGGAAGGAATCTCCAGAGCAGACAGTCAGAGGCGCCTTTCACAGAGAGGCTGCCAACGGGGCAGATCGGACCAGGCTGGGATCTGTTACCGGAGGGAAGGCTAACGCACAAGCCGTGGCTGAGGGAATGGGATGGGCTAGAGGGGCGGTTTCAGGAGCTAGCAAGGAAGTAGGTTGACAGGAATCCGAGGCAGCTGCACCGGAAGTGGGTAGGAGCCAGCAAATGGAGGTTTCCTGGTTTGGACACAGACAGGTGGAGAGTGGGCCAGAGGGATGGGAGTGACAGAGAGGTCACGAAAGCTTCCCTCTGGTGCCAACCTGGACACAGCAGCGGGCACACGAGGCATTGGAAGTAGATCAACGATGCTACAGCGGGCTGCTGAGATGTTAGCTCAAGGAAGGAGCAGTGGCCCCCCATTTTTGGCCTGCCTAATAAAAGGGAGATCCGATTTATGGGGACCCTGGTTCAGATCGGACAGGTGGAATTCGGGGTATTTGGAGACGGCGCTCACAGTGGGAACAACGCTGGGAACGCGAGTTCAGGATCCGATTTTTGGGGAGGTGTGATTCCTAAGAAGTTAGGACAGAATGCTCAAGAGTGAAATTTCAGTGTTTTTCTGTGCGGCTGGATATAAAAAGCCCATGAAAGAGACTTCAGAAGAGGTGCAGCAGGGAAATCAGGTGAGAGGAGAAGCTACAGTGGGTGGAAGGACATAGGGCTGGTCCAGCCTGCTTGCTTGGTCTTCTGGCTGACTTGGCTGGCAGGAGCTCCTGCGCCCCTGAGGACTGCTGTCTACGGGCGCCTGGGCTCACATTTGAAAGCGTAAACTTGAGCCTTCCCGCGCGCCTCTCCAGCCCTCCTGGGTTGCTCCCCACAAAGGAGCGAGCAGGAGGCCAGGGCTGGGGTCGGCCAACAGATGGCTGAGGCCTCCAGCTCCCCAGCGGCCACAGCTGTTCAGCAGAGCCTCTTGCAAGTTTAATGGGGTGAACCATTGGCCAGGGATCTGCTGGAGGAGATAGAGGAGGAGAGCACCAGGTGGTGGAGCTAACCTCAGACGCCCCCTGCCGGGCAGTGGGTGCACCTGCCTACAGCTCGCCCTCACCCTCCACGGTTGTGTGCACCAAGCACCTGGTCTGGGAAATTACCTACCTGGAGGCGTTGCAGGTGGACAGGAAAAGACCCGGGACCTGCTTCAGCCTGCGGGCCTGTGCTTTTGGTTTTCCTTTGTTCTCACCCATGTGACGTTTCAGAAAAGTGCAGGGAAGGCAGAGAGGGTGGAGACATTGAGCTCATGCTGCTGAACTCAGGGAAATCTGACTCTTGGACACAGACAAGAAACACAAAGCTGAAATCTAAAAGTTACAGCATCTTTGTCTGACGCTTGCTCTGAGTCAGTGTCCTGTGTGCCACTTTCCCCTGGGGGTGGTGAAGGATGACTTGGGTCTTCATCTGTCTCCGCAGCAACCTGGTCCTGAGACAGAAGCCGTCCTCAGCAGCCAGAAGCTGGTCTGTTGGCCCTGTGGCACACGTGGGTGCCTGGACCATTTACCTGGCCTTCTGGCATTTTCTTTCTTTGTATTCTAGCCCCGAAGTCCATGGTGAAGGGCCACTTTTTTTATGTTGCTTAAGTGCATGTACTCACTTTCGCATGCATGCTGGATACTAGGATCTCTGGTTCCGAATTATTTTCTGCATTACAGCAATTATTTTGTAGGCCCTCACTGGCCATGGCGAGGGTACTGAAGGACTGTGGTTGATTAGAGTAACAGGTGCCTTGTGACAGCTAGACTCTACATTTCTCAGAGGCTGAGTGCCAGCAGATTAGCCAAAGGTTTGGGGTGTTGCTGCCCACCTCCCAATAAACTCAGGCCACTTCCCTGCCTGCACCTGACTTCCTCTTCCTCTCCTCCCTCTCCGAGTCCCGTGGCTTTGCTGATTGCAGCCCCAGCTGGCTCCTTGTTTGGAAAGACTAATCCCAGTGTTCCTGAGCTGAGGCCCCTCCTCTGTCCTCTCAGGGACTTCTGGGCTTGCCTCTCTTACCGCATACATCACATGGTGTTTTGTTTTATTTTGATAAAAGCTTCTCAGCATAAAGTTTGCTCTTTCAGCCATTATTAAGGGTCCAGTTCAGTGGCCACAGCGCATTCAGCGTCCTGTGCGGCATCCCCGCCATGCATCTCCAGAGCTTTTCCATCTGTGCTGCAATTGTCTACCATTAAACAGCAGCTCCCCTTCCTCCTCCCAGACCCTGGGAACCCCACGCTTCCCTTTCTCTGGAATTTGACTCCCCTAGGAACCTTGGGTAAGTAGCACCCTAGTTATCCCCTCGTGTCTGGCTTATTTCACTTAGCACAATGTCTTCCAGGTTCACCCCTGTCGTAGCATGCCATGGGACCTCTTTTAAAGACCGCATCATCTTCCCTTGTTATGTAGAGACTACTTTGTTTATCTGCTTATTCAACAATGGACATTTAGGTTATTTCCATCTTACAGTGGTTTTTTTTTTAGTTATTTATTTTTCTGGCACCAGGAATCAAACTCAGGACCTTGTCCTTGCCAGGCAGTGCGGCGCCAGTGAGCCACATCCCTGGCCCTTCCAGTTGTTATGATTAATGTCAGGGGCGTGGGTACATGGATAATCTCTTGGAGCCCCTGCTTGTAGCTGTTTGGTTCCGTACCCACAAATGGAATTGCCAGGTCACGGTGACTCTGTTTTATTGGTCACATGATTGAGAAAAAATTAAAAACCTTTAAACAGTTCTTCTTTCCCTGTAGAAAAACAAGCAAGGAAGAAAGTGCCTTATTCATGTTTTGCATTTGATTACTGAAGATGTTAGCAAGTTTTTCTCTGTGTTCTATATTCATTGGTTTTTTCATGCACCCAGTAGTTGATACTCAAAGCTCCCTCTAAAAGGATGGATGAATCCTTTGAAATGTGGGGCCCTTCAGAGGCAGAGGAACTGACTCACTCACCCCGGTGACTTGTTCTCCTTTTCTGGGAGTCCAGGCTCTGCGAATTCTCCTAGGCCTGATGTCTCTTCCTTGACTCAGGCTGTCTAAGATACTTAACCAATGGGCAGCCTTCCATTGAGCGATTCCCCATCAGCTTTAAAACCTACTTCTCAGGAAATTACTTTCACCACGTCGTGCTGGGGATATACTGCAATGGCCGCTACGGCTCACTGGGCATGAGCCGAAGGGCCGAGCTGATGGACAGGCCTCTGACCTTCCGCACTCTGAGTGACCTTGTCTTTGACTTTGAAGACTCCTACAAGAAGTACCTGCACACAGTCAAGAAGGTCAAGATTGGGCTGTATGTCCCCCATGAGCCTCATAGCTTCCAGCCCATCGAGTGGAAGCAGCTGGTCCTCAATGTCTCGAAGATGCTGAGGGCTGACATAAGGAAGGAGCTGGAGAAATATGCCAGGGACATGAGGATGAAGGTAGGTGCTGGGAGGATGAGCGGAGACCTGTGCAAGCGAGCTCTTCTCCCATCCATTCCCCTTACTCCAGGATCCCTATTTCTTCCTTTTTATTTTTTTTTTTGGTACTGGGGATTGAACCCGGGACCTTCTGCTTCCAAGGCAGGCAGAGGAGCCACTGAGCTAAATCCCCAGCCCTCAAACTCTGTATTTCTAGTGGCTCCCCTATTACAATGAAAAATATGGGTCATTTATTATTCCCTGTGGACAGCTGGCTTTTCATATCTGTGGACTCTGTATCCTCAGTGTGGACTAACTTTGAATTGAAAGCATTCAGAAAAAAGATCCATGGGTTATACTCTCTTTTTTCTAGTTCCCCTACATGATAAGTATGACAACTTTTACTTAGCATTTATGTTGAACTGGTAATCTAGAGATGATTTAAAGTCTATGGGAGGATGGTGTTGTAAGTTACATGCAGATATTACACCGTGTGAGCATCCACGGGTTTTGGTATCTGTGGGGTTCCTGGAGCTAGTCCTCCCTCAGGTCCTCAGGGGTGACTGTGCTTCAAAAGGCAGACCTAAAACGAACTTAACAGTTATGGTCACAGCACTGTCTTGGCCTGCAGTTCTTTCAGAGAAATCAGATTTAAACGTTAGTCATTTTGTACTTTGTTCTGTCTTTATAATAGGGTGACTGATCATTTAGTGTGCCTAGAACTTAGGGTTTCCTAGGACTTTAGAGTTTTGGTACCGAAAAAGGAGTGGCCAAGGGAAACCAGGAGGAGTGTACAGCTATCTCAGTCACATTACATTTCTGCTCTGTCCTCGCGTGTTGTGACGCCTTTGCATAAAATTCTAGCCCAGTGTCACAGTAACAGATAAGGGAGCATTCTCTGGGCTGGCCTCCTGTGGACGGTACCCAAGGCCCTTCTGCTCCTGCCAGTGGCCTCCCCGGTGACCCAGTGTGGCCTTGGTCACCTGTGTGTCAGTTAGAGACCCAGGGGAGGGCTTATGCTGACTTCAGGCAGGCTGTGTGTAGCATCCTGGGGACTGATCCTTCCCTGTGCAGAACCCACAGTGGAGACTTCAATAAACAGAAGCCACTCTGTCTGTGCATGTGCGCTGGCAGTCAGGGGAGGACCAGGAGGTGCCTGGGGCATCTGTGAGACTTTGCCCTCATGAAGAGGGACACTTACTCGACCCCATCTCAGTACCAGGAGGCTGTGACACAGCTCAGAACCTCTGCCATGGAAGAGGGGACACAGTGTGGTCTCCAGTGCGCTGCCGGAAGTGGTGCTCTTGCTTCCTGATATACAGAAGGCCAGAGGAGCGTGCGCCTCTGAAAATCTTCCCAGTGCCTTCTAAACCTCAGGACGTGATGGCCTGGGGAGCTGCGATGCCACTGTGCTGTAGGGAGGCCTGAGGCAGCGTGGGGCACCATTAACGTCTTGCATCTCCTTCAGATCTTAAAGCCTGCAAGTGCCCATTCTCCGACCCAGGTGAGAAGCCGGGGGAAGTCCCTGTCGCCCCGGAGGAGACCGGCAAGTCCGCCGAGAAGGCTCGGCAGGCGAGACAAGTCGTGAGTAGTACTTCCTCTTCCCGGACTCGAGGCCCTGAGCACACATTTGTGGAATTGTCTGGCCCTTGGGGACAAGACTGTCCTGGGCTTGATGTCAGAATGCATGCTGATCTCCAGGGGGGCCACCTGCGTGGGGAGCCACCTGTGGGAAAGGTGCACGTCACCCCCTTGCTCTTCCTTAAAAGTTTATACATACGCCTCGGGATAAGCACCTGCTAGGGAGTAGCACTGGGCCTGGGGTTAGGACACCTGGGGCTGGAACCAGCTCAGCTGTGTGACCTTAGGCATCTCTTATAACGTTTCTGTATGTCGACTTCCTTACCCCTAAAATGAGGTTGTTAGAATTCATGAATTTCCTAAAATCCTGCAGCCCTCTGTACCCAGTGAAATGTGATTGCTGTCAGTGGAGGGTGGCATCAGGTATGTCCAGCATGACCCTCACCCTGGGCTAGCTCCACCCTGCCCAGGTTTAGCCCAGGGCCAGTGATTCCACACCTGCTTCTCAGGTGCAAGTGTGAGAAATGACGGATTGGAGCTTCTGAAGGTGTCCAGGGTGACCAGTGATAGAAAATCCACTGGAAAGACTCGAACCATAATTATACTGGGGAAAAATACCGCTTTTCTTTTTTTTTTTGGTACCAGGGATCGAACTCGGGTCCTTGTGCTTGCAAGGCAGGCCACCGAACCGCTGAGCTAAATCCCCAGCCCCCGCTTTTCTTAATAACGGCAGCATGTGGTGTCACGGTCACCCTCGCTGTGCAGGGGACCAGCGGTACTGTCCACAGGCCTTGTGGCTGCGTCCCTGCTCTGCTGCGTATTCTCCCTTCAGCTGGGCAGAGCCTCAGTCCTTGGGGATCTTATTCTGCGTCCAGGAGTGGATGAAAATGCGCCTCTGCCTAGCTTAGAAAATTGCTGAAAGGATCAAATTCAATCCTGTGTTGGCAATGGCTGGTTAGTGGCGAGCTGCTTTCATGGACACAGTGTTTTCTCAGCACCTCATACAGCATTTCCTTTCAGATGAAGAAGCCGGGATGTAAACAGGGTGGGCTGTGTTGTCCTGAGTCCCGTGTGCTCTAGGACCGAGCCGGGGTAGAACTCAGGGCCCCAGACTCTGGAAGGTGGCAGGGTGTGTGTGTGGCGGCGGGGGGGTGTCTGCTTTTGGAAGGACAGGAGAGGACAAGGTATTTTAGTTCCACAGAATGTTTACTTGTCACCCTATTCCATGTCCACTGGCAACTCCTGGAGGGCCTTGGTCAACTTGGCTGCGTCTAGGGTCAGAAAGGAGGGGGCGAGGAAGTGGGAGGTTGGAGCTTCTGTGGTGAGAGAGGAGAGGGGGTAGTTTTGGTGTAACATTCATGCTGTCAGGGAGCAGGATGGCTTCAGACCTTCCTGTGAGGCCTCCTGCCCCTATCTGTGCCCCATCCTCCCTCTCCTAATAATTCAGGTATTCATTAATTGCTGTCACTGAACAGAGTAGCAGTTTGGGGGCAAGTTGGGGATCAAGGGGTGAATGGCCCTGTGACAGGAGGCAGGCACCCCTCTATCTGACCTATGCCTTTACCTAGACAGGTCTGAGTCATTCCTTAGGACCCCCAATCACCAGAAGTTGAGCAGCTCATGAAGGCCCACTCTTTCCTCTAGAGCCCGGAGCTCCCGGAAGCCCGAGCGAGGTAAAGGAGTTGTGCTCAGAGTGTCAGCAGGTGGTTTGTAAGATGAGTCCAGTTGGATTAGTTTTACTTGGACCTATGGGGATTTAGCAGGCAAAAACATAAAAAAAAGGTTACCATGATTGCCCAGGATAGTGAATATCTTAGAAACTGGCTGTGAAGGTAAAAGTCAGGATCAGGTAGAAAACATTGGTGGTTTGAGAAATGTGCAGGAAGGAGGCAGGAAAGTTTGAGTTTAGACTGTGGAATTTCAGGTGCTTCTTGGGCATCCAGGGAGAATGTTCTAGAAACTGCTGTACATGCAGACCTGGAGTTGGAAGATAGAGATAATGGAGCCATCTACTCAGAAGTAGCCTTTGAAACCATAGCTGGGTAAGACGGTGAGGAAGGAGAGAAAGGGGTGAGGCTCTAAGGAGGCCAAAGAAAGAAGAGCCGGAGTAGGAGATGGGAGGGCACTGGCTTGGGCGTGTGTTGGAGCAACCTCAGAGTGCCCCACTGGAGTGGTCCTGGGAGTGGGGGCCAAGGAAAAGGAGGAGTCTCCCTCCGCTCTCCGTACCTCCAGGTCCAGCCCAGCCAGGGGCCCGGAAGTGGTGGCCCATTATTCAGTGAAATCATGCACGGAAAAGTGTGGCTACACCTGCCCCTGGGTCCTGGGCCTCATTCCATTGCCCCTCAGCTCTCTGTCCTGAGTAGAGCATGGTCCTGGGGATCCTTCATCAACTTCATCCAGTGGATGCGAATCTTGGCATCTTTTTTTTCTCCCCTGCAACAAAGGCCAGGTGGCCTGGGAAGGATGTGACTCCCAAGGGATCCGGGTAGCCTGTGAGCGGTTTCCTAAGAGCAAGTCCCTCAAGGCCGTGGTTCTTGTGGCAGAAGCCTTTGCTGTCCCTTTCTTTGCCTCCTCAGCAGGGTCTAGGGGGAGGTGTCTCAGCCCAAGGCTGGTGTGGGTGAGGTGAGGAGCGCAGATCCTGTCCTCAGTTCCTTCTACATCCTGAGTTCTGAGCCACAGGGCTGGGAAGGGGTGGTTGGGGCCACTGTGTGGGTGAGGAAAGAGAGACGCAGGAGATGAGGAGCAAAGGAAGGTCCACAAGAGGTGGGGACAGCAGGAAGAACAGAAGCCCAGCTGTGCTCCCTCTCCTGGTGTCACCCAGCGTAGCCTGGCTCCCAGAGCTGTGCCTGCATAGGAACAGGGTCTCCCTTCCTACCCCTGGTCCTCACCCAGCAGCCTTTGCTCCAGGGAACCTTGCTTTTAGCAAGAAGGGAGAAGCCTGAGCTGTTCTTTCCTCACTACACAAGGCCAGCGGTCACTTCTAAATGTACAGCCACCACCAGGAAGCTTGAGAGTGGCCAGTGGGTGGGAAACGCCCATAACAGGCGATAGGCCCGTGTGCTGTGGGGTCCCAGCCCCTGAACTATGCGGAGGGGCTAATTTTAGTAGCTTTCTGTCCTCACAGCGGAACTCCTTCCGGCCCTGAATTCTGCTACATTTTTACACTCGCCTGAATGATAATTCCTTTAGTGAGGAGGATCCGTGTCACCGGGTTGACACAGCCAGCTGCGGGGGCGATGAGCAGCGAGGATGAGGGAGGGTTTCAGCTGAAACCAGGCTTCCAGAGGGCAACGGGTCCACCCCTCCCGCCCCCGCCATCCT